AGAGAAAGAGAGAGAGAAAAAGAAAACCCAAGCACAAGTGGGGGGAGGGGCAGAGGGAGAGAAGCTCAAGCAAACGCCCCACTTAGTGTGGAGCCTGAGGTGGGGCATGATCATATGATCCATGAGAACATGACCTGCACAGAAACCAAAGTTGGACACTAGCTGAGTGTCCACCCAGGCACCCCTTTGCAGGAAGATTTTTAATTACTAATTCAATTTCTTTGTTTTAGTCTATTCAGACTTTTAAACTTTCTCCCTCAGTCAGTTGTGGTAATTTGTGTTTTTCTAACAGCTTTTCCCGTCCATCTATGTTGTTTATTTTTTTAAAGATTTTATTTCTTTATTTGACAGAGACGCACAGCCAGAGAGGGAACACAAGCAGGGGGAGTGGGAGAGGGAGAAGCAGGCTTCCTGTGGAGCAGGGAGCCCGATGTGGGGCTCGATCCCGGGACCCTGGGATCATGACCTGAGCCGAAGGCAGACGCTTAATGACTGAGCCACCCAGGTGCCCCCATCTATGTTGTTTAATTTGCTGGCATGAAGTTGTACCTTGTAATTCTTTTGATTTTTGTAGATTTGATGTTTCTGTCCCCTTTCAATCCTGATTTTGATAATTTGTATCTCCTCTTCTTTTTTCATGGTTGGTCTAGCTAAAGTTTTGTCAATTTTGTTGATGTTTCCAAAGGACTAACTTTTGGTTTGATTTTCCAGATTATTTTCCTGTTTTCTATTTCACTGATTTCCATTCTTATCTTTTTTATGTTCTTCCCTCTGGTTGCTTTGGACTTAGTTTGTGCTTATTTTTCTAATTTATTAATGTGAAAGCTTAGGTAACTGATTTGACATCTTTCTTCCTTTCAAATATAGGCATTCAAAGCCATACATTTATCTTGCAGTGCTTAGCTGCATCCTTTAAATTTTGATATGTTGTTTTATTTTCACTCAGTTTAAAACATTTTTAAACTCTTCTTATGATTTCTTTAACCCATGGGTTACTTAGAAATGTGCTGTTCAATTTCCAAATATTTGTATATTTCCCAGATTTCATTCTGCTGTAGATTTTTTTTTTTTAATTTTTAATTTTAAGTAGGCTCCATGCCCAGCATGGAACCCAACGTGGGGCTCAAACCCATGATCCTGAGATCAAGATCTGAGCTGAGACCAAGAGTAGGATGCTCAACCGACTGAGCCACCTAGGCGCCCCCTGTTGTTGATTTCTAATTCAATTTTGTCGTGGTCAGAGAATTTATTTTGTATGACTTCATTCTTTTTAAATGTACTAAGACTTCCTTTACAACCTAGCATATAGTGTATCCTGGGGAATGTACCATGTGCCTTTGAAAAGAATATGTATTTTGCTATTGTTGTTGGGTACAGTGTTCTACAAATTTTTTAAAAAGACATGGATTCTACCTGTAGGAAGCTTACAAATTAATGGAAATCAATTAAACCACATAGTAAATGATAGTCATTGCACACACTACAAAGTACTCACTAAAGTACATACAGAGATGGAGAAAAGAAGAGCAAGTTCCCCGAATATCCAATATCTGATTTTTAGGAAGGGGAATGACACAGAAGAAGCTCTAAAATGGGCTTAGAAGACATGTATCATATGATCTCACTGATATGAGGAATTCTTAATCGCAGGAAACAAACTGAGTGTTGTTGTAGTGGGGGGTGGGGTGGGAGGGATGGGGTGACTGGGTGATAGACACTGGGGAGGGTACATGCTCTGGTAAGCGCTGTGAATTGTGCAAGACTGTTGAATCTCAGATCTGTACCTCTGAAACAAATAATGCAATATATGTTAAGAAAAAAAAAGAAGAAGGTAGCGGGAGGGGAAGAATGAAGCGGGGGAAATCGGAGGGGTAGACGAACCATGAGAGACGATGGACTCTGAAAAACAAACAGGGTTCTAGAGGGGAGGGGGGTGGGAGGATGGGTTAGCCTGGTGGTGGGTATTGAGGAGGGCACATTCTGCATGGAGCACTGGGTGTTATGCACAAACAATGAATCATGGAACACTTCATCTAAAACTAATGATGTAATGTATGGGGATTAACATAAGAATAAAAAAAATTAAAAAAAATTGGTCAAAAAAATAAAAATAAAAATAAAATGGGCTTAGAACTATTAAGACAAAGTACCATAATTTTAAAAAAACAATTGAAATTTTAAAGCTGATTGGCCATGAATATCAGGGTTCCTATTCAGGTTGGTCTGGAAAGACAGTTTATCACTAAACCAGATTTTTAAAAAAACACTGTTATTATAGAAAATATGTTTATTATAATTTTGTCATGATTAATCACCAACTGTTCAGTGTAATAACAATACCTGAATCTAATTGATAGACAACTGTGCCTTTATCTTCTCCTACAATTTCTGGTAACTTTTCATTTCCTGTAGGTTGATAGAAATATTCTGGTTGAGGTGGAACCCACTCTGAAAGAAAACATTAAACAAGCAAAAAATAAGAAATAATATAAAAGGTTCTTTATCCAAAAGTAATATACAATTATAATAATTATTATTCAAGTGACTAGTTTGGTTGAATCAAACCAAATTCCCACTCTAAGTTTCCAATTTGTTTGTAAATTAATTACGTCTTCCTTCTTTCCATAAAGACTATGAGATTTTTAACAAAAAGCATATATAACAGAAGTATAAACTTTAAATAGAAGACTTAAAAATAAGCCAGAAAGGGGCGCCTGGGTGGCTCAGATGGTTAAGCGTCTGCCTTCAGCTCAGGTCAAGATCCCAGGGTCCTGGGATCGAGCCCCACGTCGAGCTCCTGGCTCGGCGGGAGCCTGCTTCTCCCTCTCCCTATGCCTCTCCCCCTGCTCATGCTCTCTCTCTCTCTCTGTGTCTCTGTGTCTCAAATGAATAGGTAAAATCTTAAAAAAAAAAACAAACGCCAGAAAGGTCAATATAGTTGCTATAATAACTCTTCAAAATTTAGCCCTGAGCTTTTTATTTATTTTTATTTTTTATTTTTTTTAAGATTGTATTTTTAAGTAATCTCTACACCCATCATGGGCCTTGAACTCACAACCCCAAGATCAAGAGTCACATACTCCACTGACTAAGCCAGCCAGGTGTGCCAAGCTTCTTTTTAAAATTAGGAAAATATGTTTAGCTACGTACTTTTTTTATTACTATAGAGGAAAAAGTATATCAATTATTTCAGGGGAAACAAAACTTTTCATTAACACTCAATTCTAAAAGATTTCTTATATGGGACTTGGGCAACTTCTCAGTATCATTTTAAGTATAGTAGCCATTGATGAACACCAAGAGCATATAAAGACACAAGGGAAATTCAACAGTACATTAAAAGGATCATATACCTGATCAAGTGGGATTTATTCCAGGGATGCAAAGATGGTTCAACCTTTGCAAATTAGTTAATGTGATATACCACATTCACAAAACGAAGGGTAGAAATCATATAATCATTTTAATAGATGCAAAAAAAAAAAAAGCATTTGGGAAAATTCAACATCCATTTATGATAAAAACTCAACACAGTGAGTACAGAAGGAACCGCAACATAATAAAGGCCATATATGTTAAGTCCACAGCTAAAATCATACTCAAATGTGAAAAGCTGTGGGATGCCTGGGTGGCTCAGTCGGTTAAGCATCTGCCTTCAGCTCAGGTCATGATCCCAAGGTCCTGGGATCGAGTCCTGCATCTTTCTCTCTCTCTGACAAATAAGTAAATAAAATCTCAAAAACAAAATGTAAAAGCTGAAAGCCTTTCTTCTAAGATCAGGAACAAGGCAAAGATGCATCAACTCTTGCAACTTTTATTCAACATAGTATTGTAAGTCCTTGCTAGAGCAATTAGGCAAGAAAAAGAAATAAAAGGCATCCAAATTGGAAAGGAAGAAGTAACACTGTCGGGGTGCCTGGGTGGCTCAGTCGTTGAGCGTCTGCCTTTGGCTCAGGTCATGATCCCAGGGTCCTGGGATTGAGCCCTGCATTGGGCTCCCTGCTCCATAGGAAGCCTGCTTCTCCCTCTCCCACTCCCCTTGCTTGTGTTCCCTCTCTCGCTGTGTCTCTCTCTGTCAAATAAATAAATAAAATCTTAAAACAAAACAAAACAAAAAGAACCACTTAAAAAAAAAGTAACTGTCAAACTGTTACTATTTGCAGATGACTATATGTAAAAAACACTAAAGACTTGATCAAAAAACTGTTAGAATAAATAAATTCAGTAAAGTTGCAGGATACAAAATCAATACCCAAACATATGTTGCATGTTTATACACTAGTAATGAACTATCAGAAAGAAATTAAGAAAACAATCTCATTTACAATTGTATCAAAAGAATAAAATACCTGGGAATAATTTAACCAAGGAGGTGAAAGACTTGTATATTGAAAACTATAAGACATTAATGAAAGAAATTAAAGAAGACACAAATAAGTGAAAAGATATTCCATGCTCATAGGATTGGAAGAATTAATATTTTTTAAATATCCAATAACATTTTTCACAGAAATAGAACAAATAATCCTAAAATTTCTATGGAACCATAAAGACTCTGAATAGCCAAAGAAATCTTGAGAGAAGAACAAAGCTGGAGACTTCATGCTCCCTGATTTTTTTTGAATTTATTTATTTTTTGTTTTTTAAAAAAAGATTTTCTTTATTTATTTGTCAGAGAGAGAGAGAGCACAAGCAGGGGGAGTGGCAGGCAGAGGCAGAGGGAGAAGAGGGCTCCTTGCTGAGAGGGAAGCCCGATGTGGGGCTCGATCCTAGGACTCTGGGATCATGACCTGAGCCGAAGGCAGATGCTTAACCAACTGAGCCACCCAGGCACCCCTGATTTTTTTTTTTTTTATGTAGGCTCCATGCCCAGCATGGAGCTCAACATAGAGCTCCAACTCACAACCCTGAGATCAAAAAAAGAAACTAAATGAAAAAAAATCTATAAAAAAAATTACCAAAAAAGAAAAAAAAAAGACTAGAAATAACAAGTGTTAGTGAGGATGTGGAGAAAAGGGAACCTTCTGTTGGTGGAAATGTAAATTAGTGCAGTCACTATGGAAAAATAGTATGGAGGTTCCTTAAAAAAATTAAAAATTGAACTACCATATGACCCACTAATTCTACTTGTGGGTATTGATCTGAAGAAAATGAAAATACTAACTCAAAAAGATAAGTGTACTCCCATTGCAGCATTATTTACAATAGCAAAGATATGGAAATAACCTAAGTGTTCATCAATGAATGAATGGATAAGGAAATTGTGGTATAAATATACAATGAAATATTATTCATCCATAAAAAAGAATGAAATCTTGTCATTTGTAACAACATGGAAAGACCTTGAGGACATTATGATAAGTGAAATCAATCAGACAGAGAAAGACAAATACTGTATGATCTCTCTTACACATTGGATTCAAAACAAACAAGACCAAAAAAACAAGCTCACTGGTGGTTGCCAGAGGTGGGTGGGAGAAATGAGTAAATTGTTTTTGTCTTTTCAGTTTAAAGATTTATTTATTATTTTGGGGGGGAGGGGCAGAGGGAGAGAGAGAATCTCAAACAGATTCCCTGCTGAGCACAGAGCCTCATGTGGGGATCAACCCCACAACCCTGAGATAATGACCTGAGCCAAAATCAAGAGTCGGATGCTCAGCTGATTGAGCACAGAGGCGCCCCTGTTTTTTCAGTTTAAATAAACTTGAATTAAAAAAAAATAACTAGCTCAAGGTCATACAGCTAGTAGGTGGTGGATCTGGGCCTAGAATCTCACTGGAATTACTCCAACATCTGTCCTTAAAATTTTCTTTACTGCTTCTTGTATTATCTTCTTATTGGTTGAACTTAAAAAAAAAGAAAGAAAAAATAATAAAGGCAGCTCAGTAATAAAACAATGCTAATTTCTTATCTTTAAGGTGATAGGAAGTGATGAGGCTGTCAATTTGGTTGAAACCATAAGGTGCTTGTTATTAAATTTCCTTGAAATTAAAAAAAAATACTTTTTAAAAGATCTAGTGCTGGAGTGACTGGCTGGCTCCATCAATAAAGAATGCAACTCTTGATCTTGGGGTGGTAAGTTCAAGCCCCATGTTGGGCACAGAGCTTACTTAAAAAAAAAAAAAAATCTCATGCTTTACTATTACCACTGGTTTTAAATTCCAGTTTCCCACTTTTTTTCCTCCCTTGGAACTGAGTCCAAAATCCTCACGGGAATTTTCTTTGCCTATCAACTTGGACTTTTATCTAAAAATTGTACAGGGCAGGGACAAATGCTCTTAGGACTTCTCAGCTATTGTGCCAACTCAAAATGCCACCCCTCCCCCCATTTCCAATCACCTGAAGAGCAGTTCTGTGCCCAGTTAAGGCATTGAGCACATCCCTGTATTTTCAGCTTTAGCTCTTGTCTTTCATGCTCAATGCTCCCTGGTTGCCCAGACATGCCATGCTCTTTTTCCATGTCCTCTAACTGGAATACTTTCTTTGACCCTCTCAGTTGGATCACTTGTAACTTATCATCAGATCTCAGCTTACATGTCAACTGCTCTCAGAAACCCTCCCTAATCTTCCAGGCTCAGGTTAAGTGTTCGCAGAGGGACCAAACTGTATGCAATTGCCTCGTTATATCAGTATCCCTACCAGTATGTGAATTCTGGGTGTCTCCACCTTGTTCATCATTATATCTGAACACCAAGTACTGTACTTACCATATGGCAGAGGCTTAGTAAATATATACTGAATGAATATTGTAAGAGGGAAGTGTGAAAGTAAGAAACATCCAGTTGTTTATCTAGCAGCCTAGAACACACAATGCCTGATAGACACAAGCGTTCCAGCCATTAGAAAAGTCCCCATTTTTCAATGGAACCCACTTTTGAAATGCCTCATGTAATGAATGCTAAAGATTGTATCTGCACCATCAATAGCTCAAAGATAAAACCAGCAATCTCACAAAAATAGTCTCTATGATTCCGATAAAAAAACTCCAACAAACTCAAAATACAATTAAAACCAATAAACACTATGTTCTGGTACATACAGTGTTCATCAATTATACCAAGGCTGGTAAAAATACAACTCCTAAAACTCAACCAAGCATATTAATACTGAGACAGGAATACTAGAAAACAGATTTAAGTATTGATATATTTTGGCCTCTAGAAAGATATCCTCAAATTCCTATACCTCAGAAGCATTTGTGTTTACACAGTTGTGTAACTTTTTACTTTGACCAGTATGTATCAGTTTCTCAGGGCTTAATCAGCTCAGGATGAGCTAATATATGTTGTCCTGCTTTGTACTTCAGTATGCTGGACTTCAAAAGTTCTCTTAACAATGTCTGTCAGGAGGCGCCTGGGTGGCTCAGTCGTTAAGTGTCTGCCTTCGGCTCAGGTCATGATCCCAAGGTCCTGGGATCGAGCCCCACATCGGGCTCCCCGCTCTGCAGGGAGTCTGCTCCTCCCTCTCCCACTCCCTGCTGCTCCCCCTGCTTGTGCTCTCTCTGTCAACTAAATAAATAACATCTTTAAAAAAAACAGTGTCTGTCAGAACAGCAGGACCACGACACATAAGTCACATTACCGATATGATGAAGGTTTTCCTTGATGACCTCACATTCTATCGGCCACCTTGGAGCCTGCAGTGGCCCGCTGCTAGAGAAGGCAGCAAAGAGATCTCGGGGTTCTCGGAGACATGGGTTTACTTCGCCAAATTCATCATGAAGAAGTTGTCTGCTCTTAAGAAGTGGTGAAGCGAGCATGAGGGAATCTGCAGAGGGCAAGAGAATGAGTGAACGGCTTTCGTTTCCTCCGTGGGGTCTTTGCTGCTCGACTGTGACAACTAACTGGAAGCACTGTATTAGAATATGAGCCCAGGGGGCGCCTGGGTGGCTCAGTCGTTAAGCGCCTGCCTTCCGCTCAGGTCATGATTCCGGGGTCCTGGGATCGAGCCCCGCATCGGGC